CCCGGGAACAGAGATGCCACCAGTAGGCAGAGAGCCGGAGGAATGATGCAAGGGAAGGACGGCAGTGAGAGGTGGTACCTGCCCATACCCATGCCCACATGGTGGAGAGAAGCCGTCTCATTGCCAGCTTCACACCTGGTAAGCGGGGATGGGGACACCGCCTCCCTCACAGCTGTTGAGTGTCAGGAAGGGCACGTGCTGGTCCGTGCAGTGTTGGGTCTGACCTGTCCATCGGCATCCAGATTACACGGTGACAGAATTATGCACCCGCGATGAGGATTAGGGTTTTGCGCTATCTGGCATCAGCCATGAACTTATTTTTTACTTTTCTTCTGAAGTTCTTTGAAACACTCAGTGGAGTTCTTTACCCATTCACCGTTGTAGGCCCTGATGGGACAGAGGGAGTGAAACAGGTTAGGCCCCCACCTGTTGTCCTGGGGCAGCTTTCTAGAGGCAGAGGCCAGAGGTGAACCCAGGGCCAAGTCAGACAGGGTTTGTCAGGGGGCGATGACTAAGGAGACAGAGCTCTGAAAAAATGTTCTCACTGGACAGGTTCTGAATCTCACAAATAACAATTTTTTCATCAGTTGCTTTCGTTTTGCCTTACTTAGCCTGAGGTAGCCGCTGGCCCTACGAGAATCTCTTTGATTAGTCCACCCCAAGATGAACACATGGGTGAGTAAAAGTTCTTTTAACCTTACCTCAAATCGATACACACATTAAAATGTATTCCCTGAAAAGTCTGTTTAATCAAAGCTGTCAGAACTTACCCAGGTGTGTGTTGTCCTTCAACTAAGCCAGCATGGAATCTATACGTCTACCAGAGTGGTGCAGCTGTTGAATCCTCCCAGGGAGAAGTTCTCCTGATTACCGTCTAACCAGTCACAGAAGAAAACCGGTCCCCTTGCATTCTGTCTCGTCTTGGTTTTAAACAAAATTCGTGTTACTGTGCTAACTGGTAATTGGCATTGGATCCCCGGTCCTTTTCCAAAGTGAGTGTCTCATGCCCCCCACCCTGCTGGATCAGGCTCCTTCCCCTCCTGGCCCTGGTCCTCCACACCCAGGCTCTCCTCACTGTCCCCCGTACTACTTCTGGAGCTCCAGGATTTGCCTCCTCACTAGGCAGAGGTAACTCCAGGGCCTCTGGCCTCGTTCCAGGTGCTCCCTGTGCAAGTGCCGATCCCCCTGTGTGTGGGGTGTGTGCAGTGCACACACTGACATCAGACTTTTCAGGCCATCTCCCTGATGCCTTCCCAGGGGGCCACTTCTCAGGGCTGCTCTCCACCCCCTCAGTGATCGACTGTGCCTACCTTGCCATTCCCTGGCATGTGTGCGTGTCTCCAGGGTTTGCC